GACACACGCACACACACACACACACACACACACACAGCCTCTTCCCAATATGCGTTTTTGCAATTTTACATACATGCAAAAACGCATAAAAACTGTGAATTTCAAACGGAGCAAATTCTAACATTTGCAAAATCATTATTTCCCAGGATTTTGTTGTGCCATAGCACAGACTTCATGTAGAATGACGACATTAAATTGAATACTTAAAACGGCTACTAGTTCATCAATGATTTAACGATAAAAGCAATGAATGCAGTGTAGGAGCGAATTCGTTTTTGCAGTGTGCAAAAAAGCAAACTCAGGAAGGCATTCAACTATTCTCACCAAAAAAAAAAAAAACGCTGAAATCTTTCAAATAAAATTAAAATTCAGGCGGGAAAGAGATGAGTCTTGTTCTTGGAATAAATACAACTCCTCTGCATGAGGCATAGGATGAGAAAGCGAGGAGAAAAGGATGATTGGGGAGGAACTGAAGGTGAACTGCATTCGATGATTAAGTCAAAAAGCGCTAATTCACTTTGTTAAATGGATGCTGTAAAAAGTAGGAAGATAGGCAGTTTCGTCACGGAACGGCATTTGCATTGTTTATGGATTGATGCTCAAAAATCAATTAGTGAGAACCAGTGCTGCGAAAATGCATCTTGAGGACATTTAAAATCGCAAAATGAAAAGCGACTATTAGGCGAGCAGAAAAATTGTGCGGGTAGGGGCGGAGGCGAGTGAATGAGGCCAGCAGAAATCACGAGGACGGTCTATTTGATGGTATACTAACTAATGATGGCAAAAATGATAAACAAAGACGGCAAGAGGAGGAACTGAGATTGAAGTCCACTCAGCACTACTGCTCAAGACAGCCGCTTTAGCACAAGCTCTTCACATTCACTGCTTCCATAACACTTGATAAAAAACCGTATCTGCTCTTTTCAAAGCATGTCCGTTGCAAGCAGTTGTAAAGACAATAACAAAGTGCTGCGGACGATAGTGACGGTGATAATTGACTAAACAGTAAATAACAAGCATCTGGACACCAACTTAGTGTTACCAGTCAGGTACCAACAGTGTTGCTGGCGAGTATCAGCGCAGTGGCAAAGTAGCACTGTTCTCGTGCTGTAGGTCGAACTCTGCCGGCGGGACAACTAGTCTTTCTACGATTCGTTCATTTGTTTCGGTGGCAAATTGGCACTGACCCGCCATCAGCCTTCTTGTGAGCAATCCTCGAAGGAAAACTTTGCTAGATGGTGGTTGCTGCTGGCATTTGTTATCGCTCGGGTAACTTCCTAAATGCTTCCAACTCTCACAGAAAGCGAATACGAAAGGGTGTTGACGTATTCGACTCATACTGTTTGTATCACACGGACCAGTGATTAAAGTGAGGCAAAGCCGGCTTAACACGCTGGTCTCGGTGGCAACCAGGACAAAAAATGCGAAGCAGATTCATGCCATCTATATCATCTATTGAGAGAAAACAGAGCTACTCTTGGATTTTCAACCAAAAATAAGCTGCACACGGACAGCACACTACTCTGAAGGATGAATGAAGGGGGAGAGACAGGAACAATGATAGGCCGACCTCTGAAGCCTGGGGTGAACGAGCTGTTGTTGCCTCATAACGAAACATTTACTAATATGTAAACATAAACAGTGATTGTTCTCCAACAATGGACGAATTTGCATAGTAAATTTTAGAATCTTTGAGAGATTGTTGAAGTGCGGTGTCCTCAACTAAGCGAAGTGTGCCATTCCCCAAACTTCCGCGTGGAGGTAGTAGTGGTATGAAGCGAGAGACTGTTCACTTAATGTGTCAATATTCTACTGCCTTTAAACTCAGCTACCTTACGGCGAACTCCTCCCGCGCTTGCCATTCTCAAGTTTAACGGCATTACCGATGTCTCCAAAGTGTCGAACTAAGAAAACCCAGGCTGAAACGCACCAGGCGAGTCGGTGCGATCATGCGTTTTTGCGCCAAACATGAAGTAATTAGGTTAACTGCAGGAGCGGTTGTTCCTTCACACCTCGCTCTTGCGCTCAATACCGTAAATCATCGTAAATTTTGCATTAAAGGAAAAGAACAATTTCCGTTTAGCGGTCGTTTATACGCGTTTTTTGTAGCTGTGCAAGTGCAGAAAAAGCTTATCGACGAGGGGTTGTCTGTGTGTGTGTGTGTGTATGTGTGTGTGCCTGTGTGTGCGCTGCGCGTCTGTACCGACTTCCATAAAAGCTACGGGCTGAAACTTGAGGAATTTAATCTATATGCGCGCACGGGCCCCGACCTCCGAAATGGGCGCTCTTACCCGCGTGGTACCCACGTACGGGCCTGTGAAAGTTTTTTTCGGATAAGTTGCTAGCTCGAGAACGTGAGAAGCTAGAAAACTGTGACTTTGAGGAAATGTTCCCAGTCCACGTAAGTCTTAAAGAACTTCAAACTCAGACACCGGATGTGTGTGGTACCCAGTACAGGCTCACCAAAGTTTTTTTCGGGTAACTTGCTAACTCTGGGGATTGGAATTTTGAGGGGATGTTCTTTATCAAAGTACGTGTTAGTGAGCTCAAATCTAGACACCAGGTATTCGTGATACCCAGTACGGGCTAGCGAAAGTTTTTTTCGAGTAAGTTGCTAGCTCGGGAATCTGAGAAACTAGAAAGCTGAAATTTTAAGGGGGTATTTCCTGACACTTCTGGCAGCCAGTCTTAATTTATTTGACTAGAAGCATTTTCCGGAAAACCGGTGCTGGTAGCAACAAAAACTGCGGGGAACTATGCAAAAAAAAGCATCTTCGCATGAGCAGCCCGTGCGTTGGCCAATTATTTGAAAATGACCCAGCTGTTCAATAAGTAATTTTCACGCCAAAAATTTCATTGCCCGTACACGAGAACCATGCATATGTGAGGCTGAATTTGAAACCTTTAAGCTATATTTCGACGGTATTCTTCTAAAATCTCAGCTTTCCAGCTTTTCTGGTTCTTGAGTTAGCAATTTTCCCATCAAAACTTTCGTAAGACCGCACGTGACCTGAAAGGATACTTGGGGGCTAGGTTTGGAATCTTTAAGTTGTACATGGGGTGGAAACATCCCCTTAAAATTTCAACTTCCCAGCTTTCCTGGTTCCAGAGTCAGCCATTTTCCTGAAATAAAAAAATTTCACAAGACCATGCATGCTTTGGTACTTAATGCGATAATTTTAAGTTCTATATGTGTTGGGAACATCCTCTGAAAATTTCAGCCTCTCAACTTTCATGGTCCCTAATTAGCGATTTTCGTGTCAGGAACTCTTACGAGCCGTACGCGGGAACCACGCATACCTGGGGACTGAATTTGAAATCTTTGAGTTCTATTTGAGTCAGTAATATGATCTAAAAATTTCAGCTTTCTAGCTTTTTCCTATTCCCATGTTAGCAATTTTCCCGCCAAAACATTCACGCTCCCGCATGCGGGGCCCAGACTTGTATGGGGGTTAGAACCGCGGTCCTGGGGTGGGACTTGGCCGGGGAACCAACTGACAAAATTTTAGCGCCGGAGCTGGCTTCGTTGCCGAGTTGAAATACCCGGACGGACAAACACATACACACGCAAACATACAAACAGGGTCATTACAAAATGTGTTTTTGCAATTTGCATATAAGCAAAAACGCGTAAAAATGGCATTGTGCCAAAATGTGGTCATGGATGAAAGTTGAAGAGCGAGCGCTGGTTGTGGGGAAGAGAGCAATAGAGCAATTTTTGGATGCTTAGAAAGTCTCTTTGAGGCAACATAAATAACCAGATTCTGCAGACAGGGTATTATTGCGAACAAGACCATCACAGCAACGAAAGTCCCGCTGTAGTTGGCGCATGGATGCATCCAGAAACAGCGCTAACATCAAATCCGCACATCGACTGTACAGATGCACAAAGTAAACTTAGTAGATTTGGATACGGATGGATGCAAACATTTTTCCAACGACAGGATGGCGCCGACTGAGACATGGTTGTCCTGAATAGCTAATGATGTGTGAGTAGTTTTAATTACATAATTATGGGTGATGTTTGCAGGAAGGCAGGGAATGTGAATGTGCTGGTGCAAAGGCGTAGTGGTATTACTGGACTTCCAGTGGAAGAAGCCGCGTAAGCAAATGCTGTAGTTTGTTTGACTATCACTTATTATTTCCCGTTGGCTTACTATTCAGCCTAACTACTTTTCGAAAAACGAGTATCAGCTGCTAGAATATCAACTAATTTTGGATTAAAAAATCAGGACCGAAAGAGCGCATGATTTATCTTTTAGAAGCTGGCACTGTCACCCAGTTTGCCAACTTTCGAAGTTTCTTTTGTTGCTTAGTGTCGTATAACGAATATCAGAAAAAAAGCTTTAAAATAAAGGCTGAATTACACTGTAAAATTGAAACTGGACTAAAGAAAAGCAATATGACTCTTAAGGGTTTTAAGCTTCTGCTTAATGAAATGTTTTTAAACTGGAGAATTTCTGAGTTAACCAAAACCGCTTTGGTGCAGTTTTAAGCTAGAATAACACATTCGAAGGCATTAAAAATAAAATTAACTCAAAAAGAAATTTTTTAGGAAGATTTTTTATTAGAGCTAAAAACTACTAAATGCAGACTGTGTAAAAGCAATACAAAAAAGCAGGCAGATCATCGGAACTTTGCAGAATAGGTTTCGGCTAAAAAAATATCCATCCCAAAGGGTGCACGCTTTAACACCTCAGAACTTAATAATTGGCCAACGCACTGACTGCCGGTGTGAAGATGCATTTTTTGCATAGTTTTCCATAATTTTAGTCGCTACAGGCACCGATTTTTCCGGAAAGTGCTTCGAGGTAAACATATTAAAGCTGACCGCCAGAACTGTCAGGAAGTACCCCCTAAAAATTTCAGTTTTTTAGCTGTCCTGTCTCCCGAGTTAGCATCTTACCCGAATAAGACTTTCACGGGTTCGTACTTGGGTACCACGCAGGTAACAGCGCCCGTTTCGGGATTGGGGCTCGTACCCGAATGTAGATTAATTTCCCAGAGTTTCAGCCCTGTAGCTTTTGTATGTCTTGAGATGAGAAACCATGACAGACGCACACATAGACAAACCCTCGTCAGTATGCGTTTTCTGCATTGCATAGATGCAAAAAACGCATAAAAATATTAAAATGAAGCAAAACTACACTAACATACGCATGATTTCACGCACGCTGTTTCCGAAATTTTGAACACTTCGGAATCTTTGAGCTTGTCAACTCGTTTAACACTATCTGGACAAAGTAGAACAGATAGTAGTGCCCACCAAAGAACCGCTGAAATTGGAATTTAGCCCGTGTTTTTGCCAGAAAAGAATAAAATTGGTAAACTACCTCATCCAGGGCGCCAAAAATAAATCCCCCCTTTCACTAGTGCTGCCGCATTTCGAGTATTTCATCTCTTCCGTGAAAACTTTTTGCAGGAAGTGACAGGAATAAAAAGGTGCAAAAGAAATCGCCAATATTGCCAAAAAAGGAGAGAATAATTGGCTTGCCTGCAGATTAAAGCTCGCTGGTGCATTTAAGCATAAGCATTCGAGCCATAAACTCAATGAATGAGTAATGGTCAAAGTTTAGAACGTCACCTCCAGCAATCGTTAGGCTTTCAAAGCTAGGCCGGAAAACATGAATGTAGCAGTTTAGTAATCAGCATCGCACTGTTGCAACGTTCAGGCATTTCCTTTTCCAATGCGTTAGTTAGTGAACAGAAATGTAGCACTCGGACCAGAGTACCAGTCAGAACATCGAGGATTTGAGAAAAACAACATCGCATACCCTGAATTCCGTGCATTACGTGCTTTTATGCGAAAAATTAACCGAACGGAATTTCAAAAAACAAAATTAAAGTTTCCATAATTCATTGTCTTTAAAAGGCGGGAGCACTCGAAAACAGCCCGAATGGTAGAACATGTTATCAGCAACAACCCCTGCTTTTTCCGCGAAACTGCTTTGAGCTGCTTCTGAAGGTTGCTTAAAGTTGTGTTCAAATTTGAGCTTTGGCCCGTGCACGTGCCAGTGCCAATTTACCACTGCAATTTAAATGCGCTTAAAAAGCTGGTAACAAGGCTTAATTAATTTCAATATTACTTATCGCAGATTCGTCTGTGTCTGGCACCCAAAAGATTTTCAGCTACATAGTGAGCTAAAAGAGGCCGATCTGCGCCTCCATTTATTTGCAAATCGAAGAGCGCTTGCAGGATCCGCATCGATGCGGACGGCAGAAGTTTATTATTTTATTTGCGATTTTCACACAGCAAAGATAACATCGGCATATCCCAAAGGGTGCTAATTATTGCTCCGAACATTCACTGATACAATATATGGTGACAAAAAAAAACTTCTGCTGAGACAAGCATCATTACTCGCACATTTTGTATTCTTGGTCACATTTTCCGGAGCATCCTGAGCACGGCGAGCCAGACTCGTAAAGCTTGCTGCCAGCGCTTACCCTGAAAATGCACAGTGCATTCATTCTATGTGTAGGGGAACGTGGATGCTGATAATTGTAACATAAGCAAAAGCACAGGAAAGATCTGAAGAAAGCGTAAAAAACCCACGAAAAAACGGTAAATGTTGAAAGAGTGTGCTGCGTAAGATGCATTCAGACGGTACAGGTCTTGGTCCACAACCCTTTCCGGAAAGAAGTTCCGTCCACGACAGTATTTGCGCAGTGACTCATGTAAACTTATAGTTTAAAGCTTGGAGCTCTGTTCTGTGTAAAGTGGGCGAGGATCAATCTAGATTTAACAGATTTTGCTGGATAATCGCTTGAAGCTTACTTTCTGTTGTAGTGGCAAACAACGACGATTGTTTTACCATCATTGCCGCATCCAGTTCCTTGGCCACAGCCGATCTTGTCCGCATCGCCGTACACCATCTGAAAATTTTATACGTACAGGTAAGCCTGAGAGACAACTTTTACAGAACGCACAAAACCATTCTCCATTTTTTGCTCAACTTTTGAAATAAGCAGTATCTCTTTTTGCCGAGTCGCCAAGGTAGCTGCTTGTCATAGACTGGCCAACCCGGTTACCTTATGTATAAATCAAAGTTAAATCCATTTTATCTTCCGCTGTGTGGCGAGACGAGGACTGTAGTGATGAAACCGACCCTACCGCATCTTAATTCTTTGTGTACAGATTAGAGATAAAACGTAAACAGGCTGCTATTGAATTCAACACATTACCACGTCTTTGATCCTCACAGTCTATTTCTAACTCTTTACTTCCTCCTACTTCCTGTTCTACCTCTACATAATAACCTACTACGTTTGGCTAGCGCAGTATCAGGAATAGGAGGTAAAACAGCGGGCGAGAGGTGGCCACTTCTGATGAACTGGCTCTCTCATTTTTTAGTTTGGGAACCTTCAACAAGATCTACAAGCAAATTGAAAGACTGAAGCAAAAAATGGTCGGGAATATAGAATCTTCCAAAAGAGCACATAAACGACTGAAATGTCAGCAGTTTAGCCGGAATGACCCCTTTGCTACCCCAAGTAGCAAACTCCGCTCGCCGTGGAAACTGCCTGTAAATCAGAGCGCTCTGGAAACTCGTGAAAGTAGAAAAATTGACCTGCAAGAAGTAGTCAGCGCCGCTTCCGAAGGAGCTGCTTGACAGTGCGGTGTTCTGACCTCCAGAATATTTTTTGTGCGCCTGGTACCATTCATGCGCAGAAACAGGTCCTGCTGTGATCAGCGATTCTGCAGTTCAGAGTAAAATTAAAACTCAAAAAAATTTGAAACAAATGACACCGAAGTCAGCCAAACAAATGCGGAAACTAGCTATGTTTGTCTATGCACGTTTGTATATGCGCAAGTTTTTAAGTGTCTTGATTTCAGCTATTTCTTATACACTATAATATTCAGTTTTATTGACATATCCAGTATACCACAGTTTTAGCTAATATGTATTAATTGCATAGTATAGGGGTCCATAAATTTCCCCCTTCATTTAGGCCCTAACTTTGTTCTAGCTTTTAGTAAATTTTTGGAATTTTTTCTATAATTTTCGAATTTTTCCGTTAAATATCTTTCACACTGACGTCATATTTCTCCAATTACAATGTCGCAACTGTTATACCGATATGGTCTAGCTGTGGTACAGAAACGACTCAGCGGACTGAAACGTTTTTTTTTAAGCCAATTATTCATTTTCTTCCAGCCAACTATTTTTGATTTTTCTACTATCACAATTTTTTTTTCAAATAATTCCAGTTTATTGTACAAACATACGTGTATATATATACACGTCAGTATTGCCACTGTTGTTATTGTCATTATTATTACTCTGATTGCTGTTATAGCTACTCTTATTTCCATTACTGTTAGTGCCACTCTGCTTAGTGATTTTTCGCAAAACGCATAAAAATGAGCCAGATAGTGAAAAAGCTTTTAAGACAATGTAGTCAAAAATTTACGTTCTACGCTTGTAGGAGCATAGACTGAATTTATAGTTTCGCCGACGCCACCTTGTCCGGAAGGCGAAGTTGAGCAACGATCGGCCACCTGCTGCGCGGACCTTTCTAGATTGCAGTCCCATACCTGAAGAGCACCCAGCATAAATAGCACATAAGCACAATTCTCACGCAATTGCCACAACCATGCTACTTTTAAGACATCTGAGTGAACGGATATTAAGAGTGAAATCATCTAGAACGCGGTGTTGCAAAGTATCGCTGGAGAATTGAGTTTACTGTGGTTAAATCAACTACCTGCTCGATACGTCAAATGTCGATTTGGATTCGCTAACTTTAAACAATTTCTGAACTTTACACTCCATACTTAAATGAAAACAGGAGTGCTATTAGCCCAAGTCGAAGACTCCTCGCTCTAGTGAGAGAAGCAGAAGGAGCAGTAGCGGGAGTGCCAAACAGCAATCACTCGTTGTAAAAGGTATCAATGGCTCTTTCTTTCGAGGTCGCTTTCAGGCAGACTGCTGGTGAATTTGATTCCCTGGTTGTTTATACTAGTATCTTTATACCACTGGAATAATTGTTTGTTCCATTTACGAAATTAAACCTTCGACCTACTGTACGGAAACAGTGCTGTCGCGTTGCATTGCGCCTGCCAAAACCAGAGTAGTAATCGTAAAATTTAGAAATGGCCGTTAGTGACGAGTGTAAGTTTGGCCGACCAATACACCTATCCCATAGTTACGAAACGTGAAAATGACCCAACAACTACTAAAACACGCTACGGCCAAGTCAGCTGGGCTAGGCCGCAAACGTGGTACAGGGTCCAGATTTATTATGATAAAAAATTAAAGAAGAGAAGGATACTGTGTACCAGTTTGCGCATATTCTTGGCAGAAGGCAGCGATCCTGTTCGGCCATTTGCCACCATGGAACGCCACAGATTAACTTGTCGCACCGTCGATCTCTTCTGTACCCTTTCTACTTTACTGCCAGGGCATTGATACTGCGGGCCATCTGAAATCAAATCCATTATTCACCAACAGTTGCAATGCGACGTTTAACCACGAGCTTTTGGCACCGTTCATGCAAAACCTGCTTTCTTTCAAAAGCGCCTTCCTGTTTTTTGCACATTTTCCCCAGTCAGTTCATGCCGTACATAACTTTTTTTGCCTTCTAGCGAGAGATGTCTTCCCTTCCAGCTACCGTACCCTGCTGTCTCTTCTCCTTCCTCCAGCTGAATTTATCCAAATTTCATTCATCCGAATTTTGTTCTCAACCTAACTTTAAGAAGAGTCAAGTCTGCATAACTGGTTCTGTTGGCCTGAAGCTGCAACCCTTGCTAAGTGCAAGCTGAATTTGTCCTTACTAAATTATTGGGAAGGTGTACTTACCA